TGTAATGTCGAAAGCGTTTTCCCTCAAGATTGGGCGCCTCTTGTTGTATATTATAGCCTTGCCCTCTACTGAACCTCTGGGGGTCGACCGTTAAAATGTCCATTACTCGTGGGAACAACATGGAAACAATAAATAAAAAAGAAACACAAAATAAAAACGAAACTGCTACATAACGAAAAGAAGGCTCGAAAAGGCGAAGAAAAGTATAGAACAGAAACGTGCAAAAGAAAGTGAAAATGAAACCTATAGTCGACTACAGAAACGAAGAACGGTTAGCAACAGAAACACCTGAGCAACATGATGCCAGGTTAATAGCACAACGTGAGAATCAAAGGCAGCTGGTAGAGTCAGAAACACCTGAGCGTCATGAGTCCAGGCTAGCATCACAACGTGACAGACAGAGAGAGTTGTTAGCGGCAGAAACACCTGAGCGTCATGAGTCTAGACTGGCATCACAACGAGAGAAACAAAGAGAGTTGTTAGCGTCAGAAACACCTGAGCGTCATGAGTCTAGGCTAGCATCAGAACGCGTCAGACAGAGAGAGTTGTTAGCGTCAGAAACACCTGAGCGTCAGATTGTAATAAATTATCAGGTAAAAAACCATGTAATAATGATGCACTAAATGAATTAAATAGAATTAGGAATATTCGGTAGGCATTTCCGTTAAATACTAAAAACTAGAAAATAAAAAATCGGTAAAAAAACTTTTAAGTTAAACGGTTTTATCTTATGTGCACTGAAAACTAGGAAATAATAGTAACAATTAGGTATTTTGAACTTCTAGTTCAGAAATATTTTAGTACTAGGCAGAATAGCTTTTAGGCATATTAGACTAAAATAAAAACGTGGGGCCCCTCTGAAATCCTACCTATGGCAAAGCATATCTTTATAATTTGGTAGATCATGAGCTCGGCGTTCGCTGGTGAAGCCGCCACGGCTGGTTATTGATTGTCAAAATCTCCAGTTACTATTATAATAAGTCGATGCAATCCACACTTAGTATAGAAGAAAGTATTACAGCAATAGTTAATGGGCCCCACGTTTTTATTTTAGTCTAATATGCCTAAAAGCTATTCTGCCTAGTACTAAAATATTTCTGAACTAGAAGTTCAAAATACCTAATTGTTATTATTATTTTCTAGTTTTCAGTGCACATAAGATAAAACCGTTTAACTTAAAAGTTTTTTTACCGATTTTTTATTTCAGATAAAAAAACGAGATTTGGTATGTTATTATATGACATAAATTACGATTGATTGACGTATTCAATTGTTTTTGGTCACTTCCTGTTTCACCGGAAATGACTACAACTTTTGATTTTTAAATGGCACCCTCGGTATTTTTTTTACTTTATTCGATAGAAAATGACATTCTGAATACAATGACATATCATATGTCAACTTTTGACATTCTCGCCGAAAACAAAATTGAATTTTAAAATTCAATCTAGAGTGCCATGATTATGTTAAAAACACCAATTCTTAATCAAGGAGCCTTGGAAAAATAGATTTAATTGTCTAATGTTTTTAGTGTCTTGTCCTGGCCAGTTAGAAAATGCTCAAATCGTATTTTTAATATTGTTGAACTTACTGAAGAACTCAAAGAAACTCAAGAATTTGAGTATAAGAATGAAATATGTAGTCCTGGCAGTACAGGAGTTAACACTATAAAGTTTAGGCAAATATCATGCCATAGCAAATGATCTTGAAAATTGAAAAATGAATTGTTTAAAAGACTTGACAATAGCTGGATGTTTGCCAATGCAATATCTGTATGCACCACATTCAACCAGTGGATATTTTCTGTTTCATGGCTTTTAGATGTGTAAAAACATGTAAATAAGTAACTTATTTTTTAACCTGTCTATTAATTCCAGTTTATATTCATGAATCATGTATCCATCTAATCTCTTGCATGTATAATAAATACTACTTCATATCGTAAAAGTATAGACATCTCTGAATCATCGAATGCAACCAAATGATAACTAAACCACAAAAATATGATGATTTCGAGAATTCGTTTCATATTTTTAATAAGAGAAATCATACAAAACACACATCATTCATTTTTGTACAAAAGTCTTAATTCGGCTAGCGAAGGCATATCGAAGACGGTGTGGATCTGAAAGCGACAGTGTTGCCATATTAAAATGTGTAATTATGTAATACGTTTGACGAAAATATCTTGGGATGAAAAATGTTGCGTTTATGTATTGAAAATTTTTTCGTGTTCATTGAGGAGACGAATATTGACATTTACCATAATATTTTACATATGAACATACAGCGATCTTCATTTTCATGCCAACTCTGACGCCGTTCTTTATTTAATCATATAATTTAACTAGCGTGTACCAGCGACTTCGTTCGCGTCGAATTAATCATTTGTAATGGTGATGATAAAGCAAAGCAAGAATTTCCATTAACATACAAACTGGATAAAATTTTTTCACATTTATGTCAGCATGAGAAAAAACAATATGGCGATATTATTATATAACTTGGTAATATTTGAGGGGTAGTTTCATCTCGTTGGAATTTGACTTTCGAAAAATCCGTTTGCCAAAAATAAGCTTTTTACGTCAAACAGTTTAAGCAGAATCGTGGTTAAGAAATTACCCAACTTTTTGGAACACCATGTATGATTTTTTTAAAAATTTCAAAATATGTAAAAAAACTAAATAAATTATGCTTGTCCAAGCGTTTTCCCGTAAGACTAACCGTTTTTTAAATAACAAATATTTTAATATTTGAGGGGCGTTTTCACCCTCTTGGATTTTGAGATTCGAAAAACCCGTCCTTATCGAACCTCTACACCCCACAGTCAATCCGTTTGCCAAAAATCAGCTTTAAACGTCAAGCAGTTTAAGTAGAATCGTGATTACTCTATGGTCATATTTTATGAAACACCCTGTATAAATTTATAAAAAATCTTAAAATATGTAAATCAACAAAATAAAATATACGTGTTTAAGAGTTTTTCCGAAAAACTCACCGGTTTTTAAATAAAAAATATTTTAATATTTGAGGGATAGTTTCACCCCCTTAGAATTCGAGTTTCGAAAAATCCCTTGTTATCGAACCTCTACACTTAACGTACTGTACCCAAAATCCGAAAATCTACGGATTAATCCGTAGTTCTGGCAACACTGTCTGCAGCAACCACCCACTCTGTCGACTGTCAACTGAAACTTTCAGTCGCAATTTTTTTCTGAAAGCAAATCTACGGTACAGTAAGTACAGTATTCTTTATCCGCTGCGCTGTAAACGACTATCAGCGCCCAGCGGCGCAAAGCTAAACTAAATCTCGGTATTCTCGGACAGGCTGACGGAAACGCCAGCTACATCTCGGACAGGTTTTTGTGCCACGAAATTGCCCATAAAGTTACGCATCTTCTTATTTTTTAAGCAGACTTACCAAACGGTCTTATATAAAAATTATCATAAATATACACAAATAGAATCTTTATTTTCGAATGACCGAAAAATCAACTTTAATTAGTATATTATGGGAAAATATATTAAAAATATTGCTCCAAACGAATATCCAATCCAACGTTGGCTTTGAGAAATGACATATTGAAACTTAAATTAAGTCAAAAAAATAAATGACATTAGCCACAGCTGTCTGGTCTCTGTCATTTTCGAACCCTCAAAAACTCCTGGCTAAGTTTTTGTCCTTAAATTTTGTCCTTGTCCTGGCTAACCTTTTGTCCTTCTGGTTCGACGAAAATACTTGTCATTCAAAAGCAGCTTTCAGCTTGGGGAATGCAAACGAGATGCTAGGAACAAAATCTGGAGAATATGGAGGATTGTGTAGCAATTCAAACTAGAACTCGTGAATATTTCCACCTCAAAAATCTAATCTAATACATTTTTGTCATTCTCAAATTTGTTTGACATAAACATATTTGTATAGGTATTTGACTGACGATAGTCCTAATGTCAGAGACAAAACGATAAAACCAGGATAAAACAGAATAGTGCAAAATGGAAAACAAAATACGACTTCATATGATACTATTTTTCCAAATATGTAGTACCACGGGTAGTACCATATGATCGAAAAATAAACGGCGTCAACGAGGGCTATGAAATGAAGATCGCTGTCATTTTATGTGTAAAATTATATGGGGAATCAAGGACTGTATAATATATTCTCTATGGTATCCTTGATGGGGAATGTCATCAATGTTCATTTCTAAGCCAACTGGACAGACAACTGTTTTTATTCGATCATAGGGTATTATTAGGTAAAAATTTTAATACCATAGGTACATGTTATCAACATTAAATACATCATACATTTTGTACATAACTCTGTTATTACAAAAATAATTGGTTTTCTAAGTGATTCAGATTATCTACAAGACATGAATCATTTTAACTTGTTATTTAGATTACATTTAGATAACATTGCAAATAAAAACAAACAGTCTATACTTACAAAGAATTGCGATTTTATGAATCTGTATTGCAAAATATTTCTAGTAACATTACGAAAACAAAAATATATTAAAGTACCTAGTTAGTCTTTTAAAAATAAATTTTTATTAATGGTACTTTTTCTGACAAACTCAGAATCCTTATTTAATATTGATTATTAGCAGCTCCTCTGTAATAGATGTGTAAACATATTAACCAAATGATTGTTATGTATTTAAAGGAATAATAAACTTTAACATCCATTAAGAAAAAAGATAAACTTTGCGAGTAATCGCTTTTAAATTGCCCACTTTTAATTTCTGCATTTTTAAATATTTTTTTCTATTTTTATCAAGTATTAAATAATTACTTATACGTAGCGCCAGCTTCGCTATTATTCCTAACAGACATTTATGGCAAATTATCCAATAAATTTAATATTATGCCACATCATCTTTAAAAGATATTTAAAATATAGTGTTATTTTTGTCTTTGCTATTATTTCAAAGGAGAAGATAGTCTTTTACGATTCTAACATATTATCCAACAAACCCTAACATATTTTTACGTACCTTTGGTCTCTCCTTGGTTCCTTTGCCCGGAATTTTGGTTAATTAATTAAAGGCACTACCGGCAAATAGTTCTTGCGAAGGAAAAAAACGGGTCTTGAAAATTTAACTTATATTCCGCAAATATGCACAGGAATGCATACGCCCTCCTGATTCTGACAGCTGTCAAAACGCCCAAAACAAAATAAATTTTGCACAAACACAACCGGGACAGCCCCTACCGACCGCAAGAACGCAACTTTGAACGGCTAAACTCCTCGAAACTAACGGGTTAACGTTAAATTATAGAAAAGTTTAAAAGTATTGGAAAAAAGTTGTACCCCCGAACCGCATCCACATTGATAAATCGCCAAAATGCAAGGTTGATTATGCGCATTCCTGTTTTGATATATGACGTTACTTGCACAGATGTATGCAACTACTCCGATCATATTGTGCATTACTTCTAATTGCATGAAAAAGAAAAAGATAAAAACTGCTATTAGAATTGAAGTAATTATACTCTGGCAGAGAAAATAATAAACCTCAAAAAGGTATTTCTTTATAGACCCCACCATTAGGCAACCAAAAAATCAGTAGTGTATTTCAAGAATATGTAACCAAATATACAGCTTATTTTTGTAAACATAACCTTAATATTAGTTGTCAAATCCATTTAAAAATTAAAAACATGAGCGAAGAGCATGCTGATTCTAGGCCAAAATTCGGAAATCGGTTTTTAACAGAAGACCGGAGTGTATTTCAGCATAATGCTTGGTATGAAAATTATTAAAAACGTTTCATTTTTGCGATATTGTCATACAAGATACCGGAAGAAACCTAAATATGGAACTCGCTATCTTTTAGATATGGCTGATGTTTTTAAGTTTAATTCCTGGTACTTATTAAACCCTGCTTTTTTAAAATTAGTTTTATACCTAAATTAAATTTTTAACTTGACAAAATAATGTATTTTAATTTTTCTTCAGGGACGATGTAAAATGGGACGAAGAACAGGAACAACAAGCACTGAAAAAAGTACAAGAAAATAGTGAAATCAAATTTTCCACAGAAGATATTAATAAATACGAAACAGAGGCGAATAAATTTTGGGATGCTTTCTACGACATTCACGATAATAAGTTTTTTAAAGATCGCCATTGGCTGTTTACTGAATTTCCAGAATTAAACAGTACTGATGAGAAGGAATTGAATATCTTTGAAGTAGGGTGTGGTGTTGGGAACACCATCTGTCCTATATTACAATACAGCAAAAATGAAAAACTGAAAGTATACGGATGTGATTTTTCAGAAAAGGCTATCGATATTTTAAGGAACTCAGAGATTTTTGACAAAAAGAGATGTGATGTGTTTGTTTTAGACATTGCTAAAGATGAATGGACAGTGCCTTTTGAAGAAAACAGTATGGATATAATCATTATGATATTTGTCTTATCTGCAATTAATCCAGAAAAATATCAGGCTATAATTTCTAATATATACAAGTATTTGAAACCTGGAGGGCTACTTTTATTTAGAGATTACGGGCGTTTTGATTTAGCCCAATTAAGATTTAAACCTGGTAGATCTTTGGGAGATAATTTTTATGCAAGAGGAGATGGGACCAGGGTGTATTTTTTTAAACAAGGTATATGTAAATTTGCGAAATAAATTATATTGCTAACTTCGTATATAAATGTTTTGTTCCAGATGAAATCAAGGATCTTTTTGAGAAAAATAATTTTACTGAACTGGAAATCAAAGAAGATAGACGATTACAAGTGAACAGAGGGAAATTATTGAAAATGTACAGAGTATGGATACAAGGAAAATATCAGAAAATAAATTGATGTTACAGTATTTTAATGCTTAAACCATTATTATTATACCTATATTTTTTTAAAAATAATATATTTTTTAAGATTGCAAAAAAACGAAATGTGTTTATATGTTTATTTAGTTGCATAAACAACAAAAATGTTAAAAATCATATTTTAAAAACTACCACAGAAAACTCTCGGTGACATTTCTTACTAAGGCGACAAAAAAAGAAGAATGTGTCACTATGGTGTCACTCGTGTCACTAACCCTACTTTTAAATGTTTCAAAATAAAAAAGCAATGTTTTATTATTTTTAAACATTAATGAATTTTGTAAATTTACATACGAAATTTATCTATAATTTTCATAATTTGACTATCTTTTATAAGAGCATCAGGTTTTATAGTTTAATTGCCATGGAGTCGGAAGAACCTCAACAGATTGTTGAAGGTCTTGCTCAAATTCAAACTGGCGGAAAAGTATTTTATAATCCCGTTCAGGAATTTAACAGGGACCTCAGGTATTAAGAGTACAATGTTTAAAAGTGTTGGCAATGCTATTTAACACCCTTCTTTTAGTATATTAGCCATTTCAACATATGGAATGTTACTACAAAAAGAAAGATCTTTGAAAACATCTGAAGAACCATCTGTTGAAATACACGAATGTGGTAAAAAATATGATACTGGATTAAGCATTTTAGAAGCATTATCAGCAACTGGGTTGAGAAGTATTCGCTATGCCAAAGAGATACCTGGTGTTAAAGAAATAATTGCTAATGATATATCACTTAAAGCTGTTAACGATATAAAGAATAACGTAAATTTAAATAAAGTAGAACATTTAGTTTCTCCAAGCCACCAGGATGCGACGTATGTAATAATTTATAAAACTGTTTATAATTCACATATTTCTTTACAAACTGTTTATTTTAGAATGTTAATGTACGAACATAAAAGAGAAAATCATTTTGATGTCATAGATTTAGACCCATATGGTTGCCCTTCTATTTTCTTAGATTCTACAGTACAGTCTATTAAAAATGGAGGTTTACTATTGGTTACAGCCACTGATATGGCTGTATTGGCAGGAAACACTCCAGAAACATGTTATTCAAAATATGGAGCAATATCTCTGAGAACAAAGAGTTGTCATGAAATGGCAGTGAGGATTTTGCTGCAATGTATTGAGTCACATGCAAACCGATACGGGAGATATATAGAACCTCTTTTATCTATATCTGTTGATTTTTATATCAGGGTGTTTGTTAGGGTACATACAGGAAATTACAAGTGTAAATATACCATAAGGTAGGTGTTAAATTCTAAAATGATTTAATATTTACAGCCCCCAAAATAAAAGAACTGAAAAAAGATGCCTCTTGCTCTCGGTTATGTTAGCAATAGTTTGAAATCAATTTTCTTTTTTATAGCAAATTATCTCACGTGTATCATTGTACAGGATGTGATAGTCACATCCTACAACCTTTGGGAATAACAAAACCTAATGAAAAAAATCAATCAATAACCAAGTTTTCTTTACCAACTGGTCCGTTCACATCTTCTAGCAATTGTACTCACTGTGAAAGCCCATATCATGTAGGTATTTGTTAATAAACAAACGTGTGTTGTAAATAATTGCAATCATACAAATTACAATATAGATGGGAGGTCCCATATGGTCTGCACCTATACACAACCCACAGTTTGTCTCTGAAATACTTCAGTCGGCATCAGAAAGACTAGGAACATTTAAAAGGATACAAGGAGTACTAAGTTTAGTACTAGAAGAATTGAATGATGTACCTTTGTATTATACACTACAAAATTTAGCAGGTGTACTTAAACTTGTAACTCCTCCTATGACATCTTTGAGGTAATAATTCTCATTCTAATTTTTTTGCCACTCTGTATATTCCCTTCGTAGATCGGCCATTTTAAATGCTGGCTATCAAGTCTCAGCTTCACACATGCACAAGACAGCTGTGAAAACAAATGCACCCTGTAAAGTTGTGTGGGATATAATGAGGTGCTGGGAGAAGTTACACCCAGCGTCCCAAAAAAACATTGCCAATAATAAAGTTGCCTCTCACATCCTATCTCAGACATCAGAACAACAACATTCATTTGATATCCATCCAGAGGCAACATCTCAATCGAAACTGAAGGGTTTGGTTAGGTACCAATTAAATCCATTACCATTTTGGGGCCCAGGTTCCAAATCACAAGCAATGTAAGTGTATATTCTGATTTTAGAAATTATCATTTCAAAAACTATTGTGACGCCGTTTTTTTGCTGGATATTAATGGTATGTTTATTATGATATTTTTTTAAAGGGTTGGAAAGGAAAAGATGCAAAAAAGCAGAAGAAATCAAGGAAAAAGGAAAAGGGAAGAATCCATAGATAGTTCAGTGTAAATATATCTTTATTTGCCGATTTTAAAAATAAACAATGTAAATATATTTTCGTATTCTATTTTCTTCTAACTTTAGAGGAAATTATGCTTCTTATAAAAGATCTGGGGGCACTGAAGTCGAGCACATATAAATATATAAATGTATAGACATTCAAAGAGACACAATTTAAATCTAAAAACAGCTCAAATTTTTAAATGCAATTGGTACAAAGAAACTAACAAAGTTATGCTTAAGATATAAAAATAAATATTTAGTTAACATAAACTATTTTGTTTGAAAACAAAAATACTGTAGTGGGCTTGAAGAAACTTTTTCAAGTTTTGCAAGAGTTGATTCAACAAGGACATCTTGTACCTCATCAAGGGTTCCAGATGCATCAACAACCTGCCAGTTATCTTTCTCATCAACCAGTTTTAAAAACTTCTCAGATACTTTGGCTTGCATGCTCTTTTCTTCATAACGTTCGTCACCAAATCCTGGCCTTTTTGATGCTTCCTCTTGACTTAGAGTCAAAAGAAATACTAGATCGGGCTTGAGCAGACCATTCTCTGGACTTTTGCACCATTCCAGATCCATATCTGTAACAAAATATCGATTATTTTGTTCAATTTTTTTTATATTCAAGTACTTACTATTTTTTGCAGAAGAAAAAGCAATTCCTGAATATGAATATCTGTCGACTATTATATTGGTTCCATTGCACAGAAGAGACTTCATTTTGTCGAAGTTTTCCCATCTATTCGCTGAGAAAAGTAAATGAATGGTTTGGTCGTTCAATTTGCACTCTTTATTCCTCAAATATTCACTAATAAGTTTCCCAGTCGATGTGGTTCGGTCTGGAAAACACATGAGTTCCGCTGGTATATTTTTCTCTTTCAGAGAACTGACTAGACGTTTACACTGTGTTGATTTTCCCGAACGATCTACACCTTCAATAACTATAAGAGCCCCTCTTTTCACAATTCCCATAGTGGATAGATTTATTGATATTGGCAGGAATTATAGATAATACAATAATTGTGAGACCCCTATACGTAAAATTAAATAATCTTTGGTAATCAAGAAGTTCAATAAATACTTAAAATAGTTATATCTACTAAAAAACTTAAAAATAAATATTAATATACCACATAATTTATAATTTTGGCGGTTTTAAAACTTTGACAGTTGTTTGTGAATTGTGAGGTTAAGTTGATATTTGACAGAAATCGTCTTATCTTTTATGGTCGGCTTCAGATGCTAGAAGCATCAAGCATCTAGAGCTGAACCAGAACTGAGAATTCATGATAAATTAAAATTTATTAAAATCTAAATATAAGAATTTAAAAGTAAATAAAAGTAATTTTAAATAAATAATAGGTACCAACTGAAAATATTTACGCAGGTAGTAATTTTATACCTGAGTTAATAGTCTATTATGTATCCTACTTTTGGTTATTTTATGATATAATTATTGAAAAGTGGAAATACCAAGGGGATAAGTGCCAAATTTTTCAATATTAATTTATTGCATTAAAAACGTAATAAATACCATGCTGTCCTAACAAAAGTTATCAGTGCCAAGCGAAAGCGTCTGTCTTTATGTATATTATATGTATTTTAAAAGATATTTTAAGTTTTTTATTTTCAGTTCTGTGTTTTTCTCATTTATCTTGAATAAATAATGTTGGCACTTACCCTCTTTGGTATTTCCACTCTTCAATTATACAAATACTATTGGCAAATATAAAACCATTGTCGGTACAATATTAATCACAGATAAAACTAATGTTTTAGAAAGAAATCTAAAATAAAATTAAGAATAATTTATTAAAACATCTTCATAGAAAAAGTTACCTATCTAAAGTTAGTTTATTGCTTTTTGATTACTCTAATAAAAGCTAAATTTAGTCTCTCCAGTTATTGTTACATTCATTGTTACAGCATCGATAAAAAGTCGTCATGGGTTCATCTGCGGATCTTGTTTGAAGCTGTAAGAAGTAGGCTCGGTTATGTCCACATTTGGGACACCTTTCTTCAGTTGAATCAACATTTTTCCATGCATCGTCTCCACCAAGAACATCATCTATTTCCTGAAAAATCAATCATTTAAAATTCGTATAAAAGCTTAAAATATATATTTTACCTTTAATTTATAATAACTACGGTACGAAATATTCTTTTTTACTGGAAAATAAACAGGACATACGTTGCAGGTAAACTGCAAAGTGCCTGAAACATTTTCTTCTACAAATAATATGTTTGCACAAAATGGACAAAACGCAACCATTGTTATCGATGAGAGATAATATTCAGCTTTTTACATCGAACATATATTACTAGAAACTCAAAATAAGCTGTTGAAGCTTTTGAAAATTTCAAAATATTTACCAAAAATGCCAAAAGGTGACAGAAATTTTGTAGGTTATTTTAAAAATAGTGAGGTTATGTATTCTTCTTCTTTGTAGCCATAGATTAACTGGAACAACTAGTTTCCCAGAGATATAGAAATAGGGAGTTTCCCTTTGATCATATATTTAAAACCTTTGATTTTCTCATTATATTATTATTAAAACTCACATACTCCTTAATTACGAGCCATTCTTCTCTAGTGCAATTTAAAACTTATTAATTTGCATATATAAACTCATAAATTTCCTTAAGAAAGTATTTTGAACAAGTATATATTTGGTTGCATAATCTTTAAAACTTAATTATAATTTTATTTAAAAATGGTGTGTTTATTATAATAATTTGTAATTATAATAAATTTATAACAATTGAAGGTAAAATATGGATTCTTTTATACAGTATTAATTTTATATTATTCAGTTTATATTCTGTGTTAAATTCAATTTATTCGGTTATTTAATATTATTAATCTTATTTTTAATCAATTTCTAATACAGTTTACAACATTATTTATAATGTTCTGACATGTAGACAAATAATAGAATCAGAATTAATTGTTGGCAAGATATAATCAAGACTTAATATAAGAGATTATTAATTAATGTAAAATAGTCTGTTGAATTTGACTGATTTAACAACCACTGGCCTGGTATAGGCAACTCTTTATACAAGGTGAAGAAAATTGTAAACAAATGTTATGGATTTCAAACCTACCCCAAAAGCGTTTGCGCGTTTCCCAGTTTTCCTTGTTTTCCCGTGCCTAGACCTGGGAGAAAGGGAAATGTAGTCTGGCATTGGCATTGGCCTAATTTTTTCTGGAATAGCGACGGGATTTAACAAGGAGTTCTTGTTAGTAACTCGCAGTAGTAGTTTTGCAGTTGCCGAAGAAGTCCGCCGTTGTCTTTGTACTTAGTGGCCCCTCGGAAGGTTGATACGGTATAATACGATGTTTTTTTATTTATAATTCCTTTTTGTATGGATATATTGGAAATTGTTGATTTTTAGAAGACAAAATGACTTCAGCAAAAGGGTATAAAATAACTGATTCAGAAAGAAAAACAAGAGTTGGTATCGCAGCAAAGAATATAGATGATCTGAAGAAGAAGACTATAGAGAAGTTTAAGTTATCATATGAACCTTCGGACATACATTTTCAGATGCCTGATGGGACAATTGTGGATTGCAATGGATATTTTGAAACATTACCTGCTCAAAGTCTCCTAATATGGGTAAATATTTATAAAATTTCATACTTGCTAACTAATTCAACAATTATTTAGGTAAAAGAAGGCGAAAGAGCTGAAACAGATGCTGAAATATTGTATAAAACGATCCGAGAAGTGAATGAGGAGTATTTGAATGCTGGAGAAAAAGTCCAGGAATTTTTCACGGAGAAAATGAAGAGCAAAGTTTTTAAATTGGCTGAGGTGCTGAAAGGCATCGATACGGAAAAGGTGAAGCTTTGTACAAAGGCAGAACATCCAGAATGGTTTGAGGGTAAGTAGTTTTGACACTTTTTTATAATTATAGACTTTAATGGTTGTAAATTTAGTAATTTTGGAATTTTTCTCATACCAATCTAGCTACAGCTTAACTAATATATTTAAAACTTAACAATATACCTATCACAATATCTGTTTTAAAAAATGCTTCTTAATTTTCGTATTGATTTACTCATGCATTGGTACATATTTATCTTTACGGAGCATGATCTATGTACATACTTAGTTTTAAGAAATTTTTGATAAATGGCTTATAGGTTTTCATTTATCATTTTCATCTCATAGTATTTTAACAAGAAAACAGAAACACAATTTAAAAATAATTAATTTTTAATAGGAAAAAATTAAATTGAATAAAACTGTATTTCCTGATGCATAATTAGTAAACCATTTTGCAATTTTGCTGACTAATATTAATGTAATATTAATTTTTTGTTTAGTTAACGTAATAGGAATATCTGGCTAACAGAAAACTTATAATTGAAAATTAAATAAATCGCAAAATTATATATTCAGATCCACAATATAACATTATTTTTGAGTATACACAATACATACATGTTGATTTAAATGCAACACCTTATTTTTTATTTTATGTAAATAGCTTTCTTTAAAAAAAATGTAACAATATCAGCAATATTAGTATCTGTATTCTTTGAAAATTTATTACTTCTTTAAATAAGTCTAAAATGTCAAGATTCCATGGGTATATTAACGAACATCTGAAGGGCATCGAAAAAATTGTGTAATATAATTTGATAGATAATTAAATTTTGCCTCTATATGAGGCCTTATAGGGGAAATCATCAGTGGCGGTAACAGAGGGGGGGCCCATGGGGCCCGGGTCCCCCCTAAAATCTGTAAATTGGGTTAAATATTAGCTTTTTTGGTTAAAAATGACACTCTAAAAGCATATTCTGCATTACTTTTTTATTTGGACCCCCATAATATAAATTTCTGTATCCGCCCCTGGAAATCATAACGACAATTTGACTCAAAGTACCAAATGTGTGATATCAAATTATTCTTAAAAAAATGCTTTTTTCAAATAATATGCTCATGAGCCATCCTAGTAACATTTGAAAAAATTGAGATATGATTAAAAATACGATTTGGGCATCTTTTAACCGGCCAGGACAAGAAACTAAAAACATTAGACGATCAAATCTATTTTTCCAAGGCTCCTTGATCAAAAATTAGTGTTTCTAACACAGCCATGGCACTCTAGATTAAAATTTAAAATATGATTTTTTTAAAGCGAAAATGTCAAAAGTTGACATATGATAATATGATATGTCATTTTATTCAGGGTGTCATTTTCTATCAAATAAAGTAGAAAAATACCGAGGGTGCCATTTAAAAATTAAAAGTTGTAGTCATTTTCGGTGAAACAGGTAGTGACCAAAAACAATTGAATTGGTCAATCAATCCTAATTTATGTCATATACTAAAATACCTAATCCCGTTTTTTTTATCTGAAAAAATAAAAAGTTATAGGGGTGAGCCACTTTTGAGACGCACCAGATATACAGAGTGTTACATTTAAACAAAAATAGTTTATATCCATGACTGTGACATTTGACAGCGTATTACATTTTTGGTAATACATCATAAAACTTGACCAAAAACCTTACAATTTAATTTTTTAATGAATGTTCTATCTTCTATAACAAAGAAGTTACAGTCAGTTACAGTAGGACAAAATAAAATTATTATTTCTTTTTTTTTAATTTATTGTTTCTCTGGTGAAATACCAAGATTTTCTAACTAAAGTTAGTAACAATTATGTATTCAAATTCCGTTTTCTTGTTAAAAATATTAAATAGAATTAATACAGCACCGATCATCATCGTTTTCGCTTACTACCTATCCCACTCCCCCTTCACTAACACCCCCCGACCAGGCTTTCATTCCATCATCTCGAGGACCCCACTTTCTGTTTCCGGCGCAGGCCTGGACAGCAGGGCCGCCACCAAAGAGGAGTACATGTTCCGCCGTGCCCAGGACCGCATCCGCACCTACTATTACCGCACCAAAGAGGACCTCTATCGCTCCACTAACACCACCACCACCTCGCCGTCCCTATCCAAACAGCTCGGCGCCCTTTTAGCCGACCTCCAGAGTAAGTTAAAGCTGAATAAATACCACGGCCATTTGTTCGACAGGCACGCCGCTGCTCAGGACCCAAACCTAAAGTCCATGTGCGACGCCAGTGGCGCGTTCGGCTGCGAGGGCCGCTGGGACAAGGACAGGTGCCTGTACGAGCCCGCGCACTCGATCAACCCGTACGAGAGCAGGGAGAGCAGGATCGTGTTCCAGACGTGGAACCTGGACCACCAGGTGGAACGGTCGCGGAGCGTGATTCCCGCCGTTCGCGAGGCCCTCAGGCTTTGCGAGGAGGAGGGTGGTTCGATCGATGTGAAGGCTATTTATAACGATTTGTTTACTGTGAATAATTTGAAGCTGGTTCACATCGTTTGTCACGATAAGGGGGCGCATTCGAGTAAGAAGGCGGGGCCGTATTTGATCAGTTGAATTAATTTGACGTGAAAATGATTCGTTCGCTTTAAGCTCGACAATACATATATCTCTCAACAAACTATAATAATATAGGTTATAAAGTTTCCTTACGTTGATCGTAATGAATTGAATTTCCGAAATAATATAAAAATCCTCAGAAGGACGTCCCAAGCAAGCACTCATAGATAAAAGAAACAAGTTTAGATTGGAAAGTGCCCATAAGAACAATGTAAATACTATTTGGCGCTATTCTTACGCAACGGTTGCTCTCCAAAGCTTTTGATAATTTCAGAGCGTTTCGACTTTTTCCGGAATTATGTCGCCAAATATTATTTATTCAAATTTATTATTATTTTCTTTTAATTTTTTAAATAAAATACAGTGTGTTGCATATAAGAAACTTTATTTTATATAAGGACATTTATGAAATACCTATTTTTTATTGCCACTTTTCACAATTATCACGGGTTGGAGTAAATTAAATTTAAATTAAACTCACAAGTTAGCAATAATTACTTTGAAAATGGACAAAGAGGACCTATATCGCTCCACTAATATATCTCTCGAAAAACTATAATAATATAGGCTATAAGTTTCCTCAGGTTGATAGTAAAGAATTGAATTTCCGAATAATGTAAAAATCCTCACATGGACGTTCCAAGCAAGCACTATAATTATTGATTTTTTATGGCTGATTCCAGTGGCGTGCATATAATGCAGAGGTAGGAATTCTAGTTCCTTGGGAGGAACTAGTTCCTTAGTTATAGTTCTTCCAGCGGAATAGTTCCTTGGACTAGGTCTTTAGTTCACATTAGTTCCCGACTAACATTGACATCCCCATTGCTTGCTCATGGGTTTCGTTATAAGTCAGAACTATTACACAGTATGATCTGTATAATTTTTATAATGCACGAAATACACCGAGACGTGTAATTGCATATGTTTAAAACATATAAGTAAGTTTTATTGCAGATAAAAACAAAAAATTAATAAACGTTCAACGACCCAATGTGAGTACAAAAAATTCTGATTTAACACCATCTGGCAATAACTAGTAGCAACTTAACATAAAAATTAATTGCACTACCACCCAGCGCCTGAGGCTGGAACTATTTTATTTGAAATATCCGTGGAAACCTTTGAATAAGAAGACTAAGGAAGGAGCATAATGCTATCCATGTATTCATGCATGGTGGGCGGAAAAAGCGCCATAAAAGCACTCTAGGGTGGGGATCCTTGACAGTTCTGTTTGACGATTCATTTGACACATTTGAATTTGATTTGAAATTTTGTGGATTTGTCAGTCTTTACGGAAAACACGGTATGTCGCTAGTGGTAGGAAAAATAATTTTTAGAGGTTACTAGTTTATTTGGTTGCCTAGTTTATTTGGTTGCCTGTGTATATACAGGGTGTTTCTAATTAATCTAAAAAATAAAAATCGTTAGAAAACGGCTTAAGGCGGGCTCTTAATAAGTATATTTATTTTTTTCTCGGCAACCGTTTGATGAACAAGAAAAACTCAAAAGATCAATTTTGTTGAAAAAGGATGGCCAGTCAAGAAAAACATATATTTTCTTTGAAAAAGCAGTAGTGTACCATTTATGTTAAGCAAAATATCGATTTTTTTTAAATTTTTAACACCCTGTAGATCAGAAAGGTAGTACTTTAGACCCTAATGGTTATATAAAAATTGTTTTAAGAATACATGAGGAATCACACCACAATTTTTTAGACTAATTAGAAAACACCCTGTATATTGTCAACTTGACAATGATTGTTGATAAATCAAAAATACCTTTTCCGTGAATAAAGCCCGATTTTCGCAGGAAAAATTTTGGTTTTATTGAATTTGGGCCTGCGTCTGCAAATACCGGTATGTTTTTAATATCTATCTATCTAAATTTTAAATATCATAGTCAGAAATAGTTTTATTATTTATTAACTATAAAAATGGTATACTTATAAGTTTTATCAAATATTGTGATTTACTTTCTACCTTGTAGTCAAAATTTATATTTAATAAACTGTCAAATATATATATTCTTATGTTTTATTAAAATTAACTCTGATATACTAATATATCAGTGTAACTTTAAAACTAAATCATTTGAATTCAAATATAAACATAAAAAATATTTACTGCAGAAAAGGCGAAGGCGCTGGGTTAAACGTAGTCTCTACTAAGAACACGGAGGGGCGCTTTGACTCAAAATTTTACTATTAAGTTTCATATCTATCTTAATAGAAGATTATTTTCTTTTATCTATGGGTTTTACTGAATTATTTTCACGAAAAATTGAATCTATAAGGTTAAAGTAAAGTTGAAATAAAATGTTCGCTGTGGTACTTGTAGAATGTGCTCCTTTATGACTAAATATAAACTATAACGTATTATGTAGCGCTTTTCGCATAAAAAAGAACCCATACGAGCAGAAAATGGTTAAAAAATGTATATTTTGATATTTTTGATCAAACAACTGAAAGATAAAAAGTTTTAAGTCCTACCACATACTAATATTTTGAAATATTCATATACCTTTTCTTTATACGAACTCTGTATTAAATAAATACAGTATACAATTATAAAAAAAACATAAATGTAAAATATTTTGTCAAAAACATTGTAGATTTAATTGGAATATAGATATGTACTTCAAAATAATTATTAACCTTAATAAATAAAAAATGAATTAAACATATATATTATAAAGGATGATGAACTCAAGTATTTTAATATATTTCTAGAGATGTAATGTGTACATTACATCTATCCATTAATTGTAATGTGTATATTTACAAGAAAATATTGAAAAATTTAAATTAGAACTTAGAAGATAAAGTAGGTAATATTTTACTACTTATTTCTACAAACTTAGCTGCCATTTATCTTAGTAGTTAAGGAAAATGAAATAATCAAAAATATTCAATAACCTTCACTCACTGTCCATCAGAATTAATAGTCCAGTAATCATTCTTACAAATTGCCTATTTTCTACAATGGACGCAAACAAGAAATAAACTTTTTTTATATTTTTGTATCTATGTTTGTGTCTTGTATTTGTGTCTATGAACTATATTTTGCAAAACTTCTCGTTCTAAAACATATAGAAACTGCCAATTCATAAAACAATTCTAAAACATATACAGGGTGGTCCGAACTGTCGAAAAAATCGAAATAAAAATGAAACTTCTACACCCTGTATCTCCGAAACAAGCATTTCAGGACATACATTTATACGAACTTTTTTACTTATTTTTATCTGCAGAATATGCTGCTCAACTTTCCGGAATACAGTTCGGACCACCATATATACATAGAAATACAGAATAAACATAGATCCGTCATCTAAAACGTTTAGATTTGTATCTAAATTGGATCCCTAATGAAGAGGTAATGTCAAAAACTATACAGGGTGGTCCGAACTGTATTCCGGAAACTTCGGCAGCATATTCTGCAGATAAAAATAACTAAAAAATAATCGGAGATACAGGGTGTAGAAGTTTCATTTTTATTTCACTTTTTTTCAAATAATTTCTGAAGTAACGTCAATATTTGAATGAAAATTGGTGGCTGGTAGTTTTTTGATATGAAAAATTTGATTTCGATGTCAATATAACTCCTACTAGTAGAGGGCGCCGCCTACATATTTTTTAACTGGTTTGAAGAGTAATAACTTTTCGTCCGTACCTGTATAAAACTACTGAATGAAAAAATATACATTTACGACGTTTTTTACGTCAAGAAAGGTATCTTGGTAAAAATCACTACGAGTAATTTTCTACGAGTTTTCAAGATATTTGGAATCGAAATTATCAATACCTGTCATCATTGACATAAATTAAACATGTTGACTAAATAGTTATTAGACTGAAAATATAAATTTGAAATGTTTTTGTGCCAAAAGTTCAATAGAAACTGTTTTATCATCATTTTTTGCAGAAAAATTTATCATTGATTAAAAAAAAATTCTCAAATTTATTATTTCACTGAAATAACTATCTACTCAACGTGTTTATTTTTCGTCAATAATAACATGTATTGACTATCTCCATTCTAAATATCTTGAGAACGGTTGCTCGTAGCGATTTTTACAAACAGCTATTTTTTGCGTGAAAAGTCACAGAGATGTATATTTTTTTCCTCAGTAGTTTTATACAGGTACGGACAAAAAGTTATTACGCTTCAAACAGTTAAAACACATGTAGGTGGCGCCCTCTATTAGTAGGGGTCATAATGACATCAAAATCAAATTTCTCATGTCAAAAAACTCCCAGACACTAATTTTCATCCAAATATTGACGTTACTTCAGATATTTGGAAAAAATCGAAATAAAAATGAAACATCTACACCCTGTATCTCTGAAACTAAGCATTTTAGGACATACACATTTATACGAACTTTTTTACTTATTTTTAGCTGCAGATATTCCTGCCGAAGTTTCCGGAATACAGTTTGGACCACCCTGTATACGATTATATTAAAGTAACATTAATTTTGCTGGGCAGTGTGTCCTAAAAAATAATATACTTTTTTTCGAGTATAGAGGATATATTCACAGTGAATAAGGCTTGTCAGTAATGTGATTCATTTAGCTATTGAATTATCAAAATGTATTCAATAAATATAACTACGTGTATATTCGTGCTGCAGCTTTAGCAATAAAAATTAGATAAAAAGGCTTGATGCAAAACATACGTAGAGCATAAAACTAGAATTTTCTCGATGATATTCTATGCCAGTAGATGAATAAGTAGACTGTAGACGCTTTACTCTGTTAGTGAGTAGTATTTGGCTATCTACAGGATGATCAACTGTTCTGAAAAGCTCTATATTAGATTTCCTTGAAAATATTTTAAAAATGTTTTTTAACATAATGATTTATGACGTTTCATATTAAAGTTGTAGGATTTTAAATTTCGCTTCATCAGTGGCGTTCTTATTTTACTTAAGAACTGTTAAAATATAAAGTCATATAAAAATATCAAACATTAATATATTAATTAAATCTGATATGGAACTTTTTGGAACACTGTATCGTCCTGTCTTACTAATCATAATAATCAAAGTGCTGTGATTATATTTATATATATTTTTAATGTAATCAATTTACGTAATATAAATATTTTATGTTCCTGCGCGTGACATCGTTGACACTATTTTTCGAATGTAGCACATTCAAACAAAGGGTATTTCTACCTCAAGAAATTGTATACAATATAATTTTATACACCGTATATTTTTAT